GGGGGGGGGTGTTTACTCCAGGGTTTCTAGAGCTGTCTCAAAGCTGCGTTGCTATCGTTGCGAGGAAGCTCCGGCAAAGTCTTTGGGCTCACCTCTAGGTGCCGGACTGGTATCCTCTACCATGAGCAGAACGAAGATCTGTGGACTGTGAACTCCGGCGGGTCGCCCACAAAAAGAGACGGCTGGTCTTGTCAACTAGAGGTGGTACTGTGCACCCACAGACCGGGGTCAAACATGAATGTCACTTCAGGAACATTATCATCATCATCATAATTGCCTCACTTCAGGAACAAGCATCCCAAAACATTCCAACCCTCCCTCGTCTGGAAAAGGCGACACCATTCACGGTGGGAAAAACTGTCTGCCACAACCAGAACAAAGCACATTTTAGAACAAAAAATATTTAAACATAATTTAATAAAGCAAATCTAGATACAAAATTGGTCCATCCAAAATCCAATGAAACGAAATAGCAAGATAAAAATTCAGGTTTCAGATATAACGCCATCTGTTGCTTGAACACCATCTTTTCTTTTACAGCGTCTGTTGCTTGACAATATTGGCAACTCTCACAGGAAGGTTTTGCTTTTGCCTCTCTTTTTTAATTTATGTTTATAGTAGAGGGTTTTACAGCGCTCGCAACTGCATAAGGTCATATGAGCGCCAAGAGGTGGGTGTCAACAGAGAAGTCTTTACAGGGAATCAGACTTAGACTGCTCACCTCTCTAGCTTCAACAGCACAAGGTCTGCTTCGACTATCAAGGCACCCCAAAATAGCAGGTCACAAGGGAGTGACAAACATACAAAAGAAGTAGAGGAATAATGAAAATAGTAAGGAACAGGAAAGAAAAAGCAGCAGTTCCCTGTTGTAGATCAGGCACAGTTATGAGCGTGACATGAGTCAGCCCATTTACAATCCTACTGTGCTTGAACGAGATAAGTCCCCTCTTTGGGAATGGCCTAAAGACACTAGTCAGTGGCACCGCCCCGGGGGTATTTGCCTCTCTGTGTTGTTGATGGCGGGTGACCTGTACCAAGTGAGAATTTATTTTCAAACATGATGGAGCGAGTGACTATAACTACAGATCCTCTCCAGAGCAGACGTCTATGTCTTGGACAGTCCGTCACTTGTCTAAGATATCCTGGGTGACCGTACAAAAGCTATTTTTATTATTGAAGTCGGGAAAACATTGTGGAATTAGAACAAGATAGCAATCAGCTAACGAGATCTGCTCTGCAATACAAAGGAAAACCTATGTATACCGTACTGTACTGCCTTCTGGTCCAACACTTTGAATGTCTTAGGCCAGGTGTGTATTACATGTAGATTTATCAGCCCGTGGTGTGTATTACATGTAGATTTATCAGCCCGTGGTGTGTATTACATGTAGATTTATCAGCCCGTGGTGTGTATTACATGTAGATCTATCAGCCCGTGGTGTGTATTACATGTAGATCTATCAGCCCGTGGTGTGTATTACATGTAGATCTATCAGCCCGTGGTGTGTATTACATGTAGATCTATCAGCCCGAGGTGTGTATTACATGTAGATCTATTTATAAGCCAAACTGAGTTAAACCTATCCGTACGTCCTGGGGTCATTTTGTACCCCCGGGGTTGTATTCTTCATATTTTACAATACTAGTAGTTTTCTCTTTGAAACTTTCAGTATTTCTCAAAATACTTTTTGACAAACTGCTATGCAAAGCGTACAGATCGAATTAACGAGAAAATTTCCTCTTTGGAAAGTGGTGGCACAGAGTTCCCCCCGTCGTATGGATACGATAGTAAAACACGACGTACGGATAGGGTTAAGTGAAGGCGGCCCTTCCAGACACAAAACCTGGTCCATACAAAAGGAAGAAACGCTTGGGTCTTCCACGACTACAACGCCCTGTTTGCCCAGAGAGCTACCAGCCAGTAAGGGAATGGATTCTAGAAGAGAATTATTTTGCAACCTTGCTTGCCCTTTAACTCATGCCCTGAGGAGTCTCTTCCACAGCGCCTGGTCACCAATATCAACAATAAAGTCTTCCTGAGGCGGGGGTGGCGGGGGGGGTTCATGAATACTGCTGGTAGTCTGGGTACACCTGGCCCCACCCACTCGTGTCTGCCATAGGGAAGCCGGCGGCCAGCCGAGGGTTGTGCGGTGCCAGACTGGCGGGAAAATGTGGTCCCGTGTCCGGGAACGCTGCGCCAGAGTCAGAGTGGAAGGCGTAGCTGTCCACGGGACCTTGTGCGGGGAACGCGGGGTACTGTGGAGCGTTGCTGTTGCTGGCTTGGAACCTTTGACCCCCGAACTGCTGAGGGGGCGGAGCCTGGCGCTGGGGACCTTTGAACGACGGGGCGGGTTTTTTGGGAGGTCCACCACCGCCCACCCCTGACATCATGGCCACGGTCTGCATGTGTTTCGAACCTGAGGAGAAGGATAAACAAAAACTGGCTACATTTCTTAGGTATTGAGGGAAATCTTGTTTGTCACGACTCACTGCGAAAGCATGGATTTGAACTGATGGGGAAGACACATGGGCTGCTGGACTGATCAACTTTCCTCTGAGGTTCTTCCTCTTTGACTTCTTTAACATACAGATTGGAAACAGACGTCCTGATCGATTGTGCCGTAAAACACCTACTCAATCAATCAAAAACAGAAGTCCAGCTGTCGTGGGTCATGGTCAGCTTGTGCAGGGAACGGGGGGTACTGCGGGGGATTGTATTTGCTGGCTTGGAACCTTTGACCCCCGAACTGCTGAGGGGGTATTAGCGCAGCATTCCCGGACGTAAGCGTTTTACGGAGCTTGCAATACAAAAAGGTAATTTAAAAGCCGAAGAATAGAGGTGTTACAAGAGAGTAACATACACAAAAAAGGAGGAGGAGAGAAAAGGACCATGGATGTTTGATGGGAAAGAAGGAGGAAACCACAGTAAGTAAAATACAGATTTTGCTCAGAGCATCAGAGCAGAGAAATGAGTAGGTGACCGTGACCCACGACAGCCAGACTTCTGTTCTTGATTGATTGAGTAGGTGTTTTACGGCACAACCGACCAGGACGTCTGTTTCCAATCTCTACATTACAGAAGTCAAAGAGGAAGACCCTCAGAAGAAAGTTGATCAGTCCAGCAGCCCATGTGTCTTCCTCATCAGTTCAGCTCCATGTTGTGAATGGACAAAAATAACCGTTCAGCAAATCTGTCAAAATTTCTTTTGCTTTGTGCATTGTGTTTTATTGTCATTTGGCATGGGGTTTTTTAGTTTCAGTAAGAGTTTAACGGCACTTGAAACAAAATAAGGTCAAATAAGTGCAGAAAAATAAAGGTGTTACAAGAGAGTAACATACACAAAAAAGGAGAAGGAGAGAAAAGGACGACAGACGTTTGATAGGAAAGAAGGAAGAAATCACACCAGAGCACCCACCAACTACCCACTTTTGCACGATGTTTAAGGTTCGTTGTTGGGTGGTGAACCATAAGTCCACATTGATTCTTTCAAAACAGGTGCCAAAACGTCCGACATTCTTCAGATGTAGAGCCAACACAAAGTGCTGGGCAGCCAGCCAGTCCAGTCATATGACCTTATGCAGTTGCGAGCGCCGTAAAACACTAAAATTAATTTTTTAAAATAATTTTAAAATTCTTTAAAAAATTAAAAAATAATTTTTTAAAGCCTCACCTGTGCGGTGAGCGTCCATCTGGCCCTGGGAGTTGACCGAGACTTTACAGAAGGTACAATACAGCTGTGCTGACGCCGGTTTGCCGGGACCTGTTCCTCCAAACTGTTTGCCAGCGCCAGGCCCACCAGAGTAGTTGGCCTTCTTGGCCAGGGGTCCCCCGTGGAAGCTGCCGGGCTTGGGGAACGGAGGGCCGCTCCTTTTCTTCCTGGGAGCTGGGGGGCCGGTCGGGGGGGCCGGGGGAGGGTTCAGTCGGGCAGCAAAGCTGGGGTCCACTTGCCCTGAGGACAGAGTTTAGTTGTAGTTTTACATTGGTCTCAACTCAGAATTTTAAAAAAGGAGGAACTTTTTAGCTTTTGTTTTAGTAAGAGTTTTACAGCACTTGCAACACAATAACTGCAATAAGTTCATATAAGTGCAGAAGATTAGAGATGTTACAAGACAGAAAACAAACACAAAAATGAAGGAAGGGAGATAAAGACGAAAGATTTTTTATAGGAAAGAAGAAGCAAACCACACCAGAGCACCCGCCAGCCACCCACAGTTTTAGTTTACATGGGTCTCAACTCAGAATTTTAAAAAAGGAGGAACTTTCCGTGTGGTCGTGACAGAAGACCATTTTTTTGAGACAACCATTATTATTAAATCATGTATACTGTTTAACCCTAGAATGCTGAAATTCAAACCATCAATTTATCAAAACAAGGTTATGTCATACCAATTTGAGGGTTTGGAAGATAATTTCAAGAAAAAGAGTCAGTTACCAAATATTATTTACAATCTTGATTATTTGTTTTGTTTTAGTAACGTTTTTACGGTGTTCGCAACTACATAAGGTCATATGAGCCCCAAGGGGTGGATGTTAACAGAGAAATCCAAACGGGGAATCAGGCTTACTCTGCTCACCTCTCTAACCTCAACAGCACAAAGTCTGCTTCGACTATCAAGGCACCCCGGAAATAGCAGTTCACAAGAGAGTGACAAACATACAAAAGAAGTAGACGAAAAATGACGATAGTAAGGATTAGGACAGATAAATCAGCAGTTCCCCCGATGTTGTTCCAGCACAATATGAGCATGACATTGATGAATCAGCACATTTACAATTTTACTGAAAGAGTTGAAGTTGGACCTAAAAGATTTTCTAAAAACCCAAACAAACAGCAGACCTAATAGAGATTTTTTTAAACCAACAAACAGTAGACTTAATAGAGATTTTTAGAAAACAAACAGCAGGTCTAATAGAGACTTTGGTTTTAGTAGAGGTCTTTACTGTGCTCGCAACTGGATAAGGTCATATGAGCGCTAGAAGATTAGAGGTGTTACAAGAGAGTAACAAACATAAAAAAGAAAGGGGAGATAAGGACGATAGGTGTTTGATAGGAAAGAAGAAACAAACCACACCATAGCACCCGCCAACCACCCACTAATAGAGACTTTAAAAAAACAAACAAATAGCAGGTCTAAAAGAGACTTTTATAAAAACCAAAGTTGCCAAGGCCATGGCTGTGTACTGTGTACCGTGTACTGATGTGTACTGTGTACCGTGTACTGTGTATGTGTACTGTTTACATTTACTGTGTACCGTGCACTGAGTACTGATGTGTACTGTGTACATGTACTGTTTACATGTACTGTGTACCGCGCACTGTGTACTGATGTGTACTGAGTACTGATGTGTACTGTGTACATGTACTGTTTACATGTACTGTGTACTGGTGTGTACTGTTTACTGATGTGTACTGTGTATGTGTACTGTGTACTGATGTGTACTGTGTACTGATGTGTACTGTGTATGTGTACTGTGTACTGATGTGTACTGTGTACTGATGTGTACTGTGTATGTGTACTGTGTACTGATGTGTACTGTGTATGTGTACTGTTTACATGTACTGTGTACCGTGCACTGTGTACTGATGTGTACTGTGTACTGATGTGTACTGTGTATGTGTACTGTTTACATGTACTGTGTACCGTGCACTGTGTACTGTGTACTGCGTATTGTGTACATGTACCGTGTACTGTGTATATGTACTGTGTGAATCGCTCAACTCACCGAGGCGTTTGGCCAGTCGCACCTTGGCCATGTGTTTCTCGGACAGGTAGTGGGTGCCAGCTGCACTAGGGGAGCCAAGTAGCACCAGGCACACAGAGCACCACGCCTCCTGGTCGCCTCTGTTCACTGGAAAACACACACAGCAGTTAAGTTTTAGTAAGTGTTTTACAGCACTTGCAACACAATAAGGTCATATAAGTGCCGAAGATTAAAGGGGTTACAAGAGAGTAACAAACACAAAAAAGAAGGAGGGGAGATAGTTTAGTTTTAGTAGGTCAGGTTAACGTAACATGGAGTGCCCATTGGGCGATCTACAAACCGATCGGCCGACTCGTCGCGTGAAAACAAACGCATTCACTTTTGAGGCGACAAGTCGGGCTATCGGTTTGTGCCACGATAGCCGCTTTGCTCCCTCAATCTGGCTAGCAAACTGAACCAAACTAAATCGATCGTGCAAATGGGCGTTGGGCATAATATGAAATGTATTTTGTAGGTTTTTAATTTTTATGAAAACCTACATGTGTTTTTATAGTCCCGTACAGCCAAGAAAAATTTCCAACTAGGATAATAAAGTATTATCTTATTGTATCTCTTCTTATCTTATTTCGATCATTTACTATCTTATCTTATTTTGATCATTAACGATCTTATTTTATTTCCATCATTAACAATCTTATCTATTTCCATCATTTACGATCTTATCTTATTTCAATCATTTACAATCTTATCTTATTTCGATCATTTACGATCTTATCCTATTTCGATCATTTACGATCTTATCTTATTTCCATCATTCACGAGGCAGGCTGCTATCAGGGTGTCCAGCAATATTTCCTGAAAAAATTTACTACCTGGAAAAAAATTGACTACCCAGCAAATCAAGCCCCACACCAGCTCGAAAAAGGGAGTTAATTTGCACCATCAATAACATATATATTATTATTACATAACATATGGAACGAAAAGAACACACAACAAAGTCCAGTAGACAAAATGGAGGATAGACAGACGATCGCAAGCTTGCTTGCAGCTAGATTTAGTTTTAGTAAGGTTTTCACGGCGCTCGCAACTGCATAGGTGATATGCTGGCGAACCCGACAATCTAAAAATCGGATAAAGCTTGTATTTTCGTTTTCACCCCCCCCCCCACCCCCACAAGTGACAGCACGGTGAAGAGTCCGAGTAATTATTAAAATTTGTTTGCACGGCGACACAGCGTTTATACTGTACAACTTGCATATTACAAATGTTGCGTTATCAGTTTATCTTCGCCAAATTTCAGGGTGGTAACGAAAGCGAAAGTAGATCTCGATTTTCGCGATCGAGCCTCGGTGTCACATACACTTCCACCTGCCGCCATAGCCGGCTTTTCGCGTGAAACGTACTCTCGGACGGGGAAAAGGTGAACGAATAATTATATCACAATCGTGACCTGCAAAAACGGAGGCTAGGGTTCACTGAAAAGTCTTGCTGGCTTCATCACTCAGTATGCAGGCTGATTTACGACCGTTTGCCAAATGTTTACTACCTTCAAGGCAAGTTTACTACCATTTACCACCTTTACGACCAGGGCGTCGAATTTACGACTTTTTTACGACTTTGCTGGGCACCTTGTGCTTTGACCATGCCTCTTAGGGCCAACCCAAGCTGACAGGGTTACGACATCCCAGCAGAAAGGCGTTAGTTACAAAAAAACTGCCTGAGGACAGCAAGTCTATAGTTTTAGTTTAAGTAAGTGTTTTACGGCACTTGCAACACATTAAGGTCAAATAAGTTCTGAAGAATAGATGTGTTACAAGAGAGTAACATACACAAAAAAAGGAGAGATAAGGACGACAGATGTTTGGTAGGAAAGAAGGCGCAAACCACACCAGAGCACCCGCCAACCACCGACAACAGCAAGTCTGATTGATAAAACGGAGAGAAAAGAGACAGGACCAACAAGCAGCGGTACCCTGCAACTATCATCCACAACCAAGTCCGCTAGGGGCTCTTCAGCAGGCAGGCAGGCGCAGTGACTCAAAAGACTCACGTGCAGCGACTCAAAAGACTCACGTTCAGTGACTCAAAAGACTCACGTGCAGTGACTCAAAAGACTCACCCTGTTGACTTCGATCGGCTCGCTTCTGATGCTTGGAACCCTCGAAGTGCGCCACGGCCAGCGCTTTGGAGGTGAGCCTCACCACGCACATGCTACACATCACGTCCTTGCTGCGCATCCACAAATCCTCCCGCCCGGCTGTGATCTCCGCCTTCCCCGAGGGACTTTTGTCATCGCCGGCGTTGTTGGCTGGGGCGGCGGGCGGCTGGTAGTTGTTCTGGGCAAACTTCATGAGTCTCTCCAGGTCCCACAGACTGCTGCACACCACCACCTGAGGAGGAGAGGGGAGGGGAGGAGGGGGGGGAGAGAGATCAGCATTGGTTGTGTTTGTTTTGGTAAGTATTTAACGGCGCTCGCAACTGCATATAAGGACGTATGAGCGCGTGGGACACAATAAACATTTTTTAGTTGGTAGGAAATTTTGAATTTTGCTCGGGTGGCAGCCGAAGTCTGCTCTTATTGATCTTGGACCACCAAGGGATCTTTAACATACGCGATTTGCACACGGGACCCAGAGGAGGGGGCAAAGGAGGTGAGGGGGTGGGGGCAGAAAGTGGAGACGAAAGCAGACAACAGAACATTGTTAGACAGCAGGAAAGGATGTGAAAGGTGAAAATTATAGAGAAGAAAATTATCCGTCACTATCCGGATTTTAACCCACGACCTATTAAATGAGAGGCGAACAGAATACCGTAACTAACCTCTAGACCATGAAAGCCCCTTTCAATATCTGCACACCCAACTCACCTCTTTACCACCTGGAGCAGGCTGCGTCTTATCAGGTTCCAAACCTTAGATGAAAGAAGAAAAAAAAGCAACCGTCATCAATTCTTTTGGCTGTAAACTTTTCTAACCCCCCCCCCCCT